CTGTATGAAGAGGTAGCAGTAAACACAGCACAATTATGACTATCATACAGCGAAGCTTCACAACTCATTATGCGAGACATTGTGGTGAAGTCAGGCGCTCTTCAAAATTTGGAAATCTCAGAAATCTTCATTTATCGGCCAGTTTGGACATTTTCTTAGATTTTTTTTGGCACAACACCTTGTATGTCCATTCAAAAATACTCTTATGTGTGGATTTCATAGAAAAATGTTAACTAAAGGCACAACAAATTCCAATTTACAATTTCCGAGGACTTTTAAGCTGTGGAAATCACCAAAATCTGGTGCCACCATTTTTTGGACTAATTCTACCTATGAAACCAGACGACCTCTCCTTCAATTGCTAATATCTCGACTTCTATTCCAGATAAATGGATATTTTGTTTCATTGAAAGCAAGACAAATAAACAACCTTTAAGGTGATACCAATAACTCCACAGTGTGCCCACAAATTGACGAGCGCCTGATTCCACTGTGTCGTGACACATATGTAGCGGCAACGACATTGTTCTTATTATTCCTGCCTGAGTATACAATGATAGTAGTCCATCGGTGAATATCTGACGATGACCAATACATCCCCAGAGAACAACTATATTATTCTCATGCAAAACTGCTGAAATAAAAGTTAAGATGACTTGTGGGATCTTCTGTGATCGATGCCACCAAATCTTGCACATAAACGTTTGTCGCATTTTGAGCAAAAATTGTGTGAGATTGCCCAAGAGCTCTGTTTTGCGCCATTTCGGAACTCCCTAAGCACTGACCCTAACAATATATCTACGTTCCTTACATTTGCGTTAGGTCGCAAGATCTTTCTAGGCCAGTGCTTCTCTACCTTTTTTTTTAGCCAGCGCTCACTTTTGCCATCTGTAAGAAACTAAAACTTTCGTACCACCAACCTATATTATTTGGTATTTCCGAGCAAGTTATTAAATAACATCGGGTACTAAAGTAAAGTAAAGTTGATCCCGCATCCGATCCGTACATTGGGGATTGCCCTGTTAGTGAGACAACTTCCTGGGCCATCGACATATTGTGGTTGGGTGGCCAGTTCCTTTCCACACCGCCTTTACTTCTCCATCTCGAAGTAAGGTACCCATTACTGCTGGGTGGGCAGGAGGGGGCGAAAAAAAAATTCGTGTCCGAAACGAGTCTCGAACCCAGACTTTCCGCTTTGGAGACGAGCGCACTTACCGCTCCGCCACTGCACCCTCACATCTGGTACTACCCTCGGGATTTGCAACACCCACAAAAACTACTAAATAAATCCCAACCCACTAGTGGGCGATACCGGCCATGTGAGATGGCAAACATTGTTCTAGGCTAAGACTATTTGTGTCACGATAATTCTGCCGTGACAAGGCAGACCGACGTATTTGCAAATTTTATTAAGTATGTTCGTTTAAATGGACATCTATACCCATTTTGCATATTGTGTTGAATGCAGGAAGACGTATCTGCACTACAAATAGGATATTTCACTATGGCAAAAAGACGAAACTGAAGGGCCAAGCCCAAATTTCCAATGGCAGCGCGACGTAACTCAAAATCATAACAAGTGAAGATACGTCGCTCTGCCTTGGCATGGCAGAGTTATGGTGGAATCAAGCGCACGTCAGTTTTTGGGCGTGTGGAGTTATTGGTATGATCATAAAGCTTGTTTATTTGCCTTGCTTTTGATGGAAACAAAATATCATATATCTTGGATACAAGTCGAGATATTGGCAATTGAGAGAGCTGGGGGTTACTTGGTTTCAGAGGTAACATTTGGGAGAAAATGGCCGCCAAAGTTCAGTTATTTACCTAGTTGAGAGTCCGTGGGAACATAAAATTTATACTTTTTGTGCTTTTAATCATTGTTTTTCAATAAAATCCATACAGAAATGTGTTCTTTAAAGGACATAGAAGGTGTTAAGCCCAAAAACAAAAAAATCGATAAATATGTCCAAACCTGTGGAAAAATGACAATTCCTTCATTTTCATTTTTTTGACGAGCGCCTGATTCCATCACGCTGTCTTATAATTTAAACATAAAACCCAAACCACCCCCATCCCCTACCTCAACTACTGGGGCCTACCCCCCCCCCCCCCCTCGCACTTTTGAATATTTCGTTCTTTTTTGTTCCCCATACGGCCCTTTTACTTGGATTGATTACGTCAATTTTTCAATTATTTACCCTCTCCTGTGTTGTTGGCCAGTTGGCATGCATGCTAAGCGACTGATCTGTCATTGAGAAAGTGAGTGGATAGAAAGGGGGCTTGAATAAATCATTAGACTCCGTCGCTAGATTAATAAAGGATAGATGAAAGTTGTGCACGTCGAAGAATACATTGATAAACACAGACAGAAGCCGCTCTTGCGATGGATGGAGACAATGTGCTTTGAAGCATCGCATTTTAAATGAAGTTTGGCTTGTGAAACTGAGCAGGGGTTAATTCGAGTGCGAGTGGGTGTTTCGATCGTTTTGTGTATAAGGGCTTTTGTATGTGAGGGGGTATGTATTTTCGTCTCTGTGTGTCTGCGTATGAATAGTGTCACAACGCGGTGGAATCAGGCGCTCGTCAATTTTAGGGTATGTGAAGTTATTGGTATTGCGTTAAAGCTCGTTCATTTGCCTTGCTTTAAATGAAAGAATTACTCTTTTTTTCTTTAGTACATGTCAAGATATTTTAGATTGAGTGAAGTGGGGGTAACCTGGTTTCGGAGATAAAATTAGGGAGAAACTTTTAATAGCCACCAAAGTTTGGTTATTAACAAAGCCTCAGAGTCCCTGAAAACTGACGATTTAAATATTTTGTTCCTTTAATCATCGTTTTTAAATGTAATTCACACTGAAATAAATTCTTAAATGGACATAAAAGATATTGAGCATAAAAATTTTTTTTTTAATTAAAACAAAAATTGCCAGACGAGCGGAAAAGAGTCAGTTTCTTTACTTTCATTATTTTGACGAGCGCCTGATTTCACCACGCTGCTTCACGTATTATTATAATGTGTGCTGTTTGATGTAGGTGTATCTGAGAATGAGAGTGTATTCATTTATGAATGATATATTTACTGCATGTTTGTGTGAGTGTGTATGTGTGTGTGTGTGTGTGTGTGTGTGTGTGTGTGTGTGTGTACGTGTGTGTGTATGTGTGTATATGAGTGTGTGTTTGTGTGTGATTGTGTGTGTTTGTGTATAATATTATGTGTGTGTGCGTTAGTGTGTGTGTGTGTGTTTGTGTCTGTGTGTATGTGTTTGTGTGTATGCGAGTGTATGTGTGTGTATGTGAGTGTATGTGTGGTGTATGTGTGTGTGCGTGTCTATGTGTGTCGGTGTGTGTTTGTGTGTATATGAGTGTGTGTTTTAGTGCGTGTGTATGTGTGTTTTGTGTTTGTGAGTGTATGTTTGTGTGTGCTTTTGTGTGATTGTGTGTGTTTGTGTATAAAATGTGTGTGTTTACGTGTGTGTTTGAGTGTGTATGTGAGTGTATATGTGTACGTATGTGTGTGTGTTTGCGTGTGTATGTGAGTGTGTGTATGTGTGTACATGTATTTGTGTATGATTGTGTGTGTTTGTGTATAATATGTGTGTGTGTGTTTCCGTGTGTATGTGTGTGTCTATGTGTTTGTTTGTGTGTTTTTGTGTGTATGTGTGTGTCTATGTGTTTGTTTGTGTGTTTCCGTGTGTATATGTGTGTCTATGTGTTTGTTTGTGTGTTTCCGTGTGTATGTGTGTGTCTATGTGTTTGTTTGTGTGTTTTTGTGTGTATGTGTGTGTGTTTGTGCGCTGTCTCTGACGTTAAAATAGGTCGCAATTCAACCGTACGATTGCAGTGCATATCCATGATTATTTAATTGAGTCGCTCGCTACGACTAAAACAGCTGGCTTGACGGCATTTTAAAAAAAGCTTAGGCTCATAGTCCCATACCGATATTACTGAATTTTTAAAAAACTATTTATACAATGATGAAAATAATAATAATATTATCAAATTTGAGAAAATATTTTTTTCCATGGACGCGGCGTTAATGATGACACTACTACATATTGTTGCTTCTTGACACTGCTCCCCCTCCCCCGTCCCTCCCTCCCCCCTCCCACATCATAAACCTTTAACCTTTCCAGACTCATGTTCTCGTGCTTCGAAAGAAAGTATGCGTTTATTCTTTTTCCCGAGTAAACTTATCCTTTATAGGTGGTTGGCAGGTTATCGGGTGTGGTCTGCTCTTTCTTTCTTATCAAACATTCTGTCGTCCTTATCTCCCCTCCTTCTTTTTTGTGTATATTATATTTTAAAAATCAAATGAGGTAGTGCTTGATGAAGCCCACGTGGGACGCTCAATGTTAAAAACAATCAGGAAACGACAAATGCAGTTTTTGGGACACCTGAATAGACATAAGGGTCTTGAACATCTAGCTGTCACTGGCAAAATTGAGGGCTAGCGAGGCAGGGGTAGGCCCAGAGCAACATACTTAGGGAACCTAAACAAATGGGTAACAGGGAAAGATCAGGGAAACGTAGCTTTTCTGAGAGCATCCGGACAAAGGAATAAATGGAAAATCATGATCGCCGATGTCTGTCACAGATCCGGCAGTGGGTGATGATGATGACTCTCTTGCAACACCTCTAATCTTCGGCACTTATATGACCTTATTGTGTTGCAAGTGTCCTAAAACTCTTACTAAACCCAAATCGTATCGTGTTTTATATCAAAACCCATCTGAGCGTATATTTGTCCTTCTATGTACGTGTTCCTATTTATTTGAGCAGACAGAGTGGAAAGCAATTTCAGGAACGGACTTGTGTGAATGCCAAAAGCTCTTCTTATACTGTACTGATCAAAGGGCCTTAACCTTAACTACTCAGACTACAAATATTTTCCACCATGAACAGCCCACAAATTTACCGTCTGGGGGTATTTTTTTCTGTCCAATCGAATCATTGATCGTTATCCGCCTGTTTATCCCCCCTGTCCTGTCGTTCTTCCTCAGAAACTGAAAGCAGCTGCGGAGAAAGCGATGAAGAGTTATGGGCCTTACAAGGAATTCATCGATTTCAAGGTTGGTGACTCCGTCTTGATTTGGGTGACAATGAGAAAGCAACGGTCTCGGTACCTGCTGTCTGTCTCCGTTTCGGAGACGAGGAACCGAGCCTCGTTGTGAGGGAAGTTGTGAATATGTTAACCCTTTACCTCCCCTTACATAGCAACTAAGTTATCACATATGGGGCTATATTCCTACCTATATTGAACTGGGCGTGTGTGTGTGGGGGGTGTAGTCTATTGCTTTTTTTTTCAGTAAGGTTTTACGGCGCGTGCAATTGCATTAGGTCATATGAGCGCCAAGGGGTGGATGTCAACAAAGAAGTCCATATAGGGAATCAGACTTACTCTGCTCACCTCTCTCACCCGCATGCCGTTGATAAATCATTCCATTTATAATTCCACTGTGCATAAGAACATGTTGATACTCCCCCGCCCCCCTTTTGGGAATGGCCTAAAGACAACTTCAGTCAGTTGCACTGCCCTAGCTTGGGGGGGGGGGGTGTATTGCCTCAGAAGCAGGCTATGGATAGCACTCGTTCTTAAACAGGGTGACTCTCCTGTGTTACAGTATGCTTTTGGCGGGATATTAGGTCGCTTTTAAGGACAAGCGGGCTAACCCAGGTTTCGGGGGGTTTCCAGAAATCTTGACCTGCACCAAAAGTGGGATTGTCCTACCCATAGGAGAAGTTTGGTTTCATTAGTGTGTATATTTGTTTGGTTATAAAGAAAACTCTTCTTGTCTTTAAAAGAAACTGAACAAGGGCAAAAACTTTACCTTCCATTTCCTCAAAACAGTATTTTTTCGGGATAGCCCCCTTGTACTTAAAAGTGACCATTTGTACTTGTCGGTGGTGTAAGTGGCCTAGTGGTTAGGCTATCGGACGCGTAATCGTGAGGTTGCGGGTTCGGGGTTCGAGCCGCGGGCCCGACGTTGTGTCCTTGGGAAAGGAACTTCACTCGAATTTTCTTCACTGTTGGAATGGGTACCCAGCTATAGACAGTGAAAGATCTTGTCAGTATGTTAGTGTTTTAGTGCCTATATGGCAGCTTGCACTGTATGTTTCCCAGGAAGTTGAGGTTGTTTCAAAATGCTCTCGGGTCTGTTGGAGTAATAGTATAGATTGTGAAGCGCATAGAGCTTGATGTTGATCGGTGATTTTCGCTATACAAATGCTATGTATTATTACTCCACATCTTCTCTGTCAGCTCTCGGTTGAGCTGTGTAGAGGTGTATCGTGTGTGGTGCCAATACCCTGTTTTGAATTCTTTAAAAAGATCTTTAGGAGTTTTATTTGTTGGATAGGGTTTCAAGGTTCTACGCCTGCTTAACTTGATCCTATCGGAGATGGTCATCCTTAAAACAGACAATTAAAAAAATTGATTTTACGTTTGGTCTTTATATATCTGTATAGTATGTTAAGTGTGCTGACAATATGAGTTGCTTCTCGGATTTGAGCCCCATGGAAATAGATACATAATGCTTATATATTAAGTTTTTACTATTGATAAGTGTGAAATAACAAAAGGCATGTTATACAGAAAGAATACTGAATCAACATAAAATCTATTAATTTGACCTTAGGGTTGATTTTTGGCCAATATCTCCATTTATGGATTGGGAAAAGTAACATATTATTTTGTCAGAATGCCTCACATACACATATTAAACAAATTAAACAAACCTTTTGTCTATAAATTTGAAATGTATCCATTTATGTGCCAAGACAGGTCTTTACATAATAATACTGTACGTGTCTTGCTTTTATCTCTTAACTGATTTTTCGTCAAATTCAATTCAATCTTCAGTTGTTTAGATCTTTCAACCTTAATGCCTAACTCTAAGGATTTTCTTTTTTTTTTCTTTGTTTTATGGCACCTTCCATTTTTTAGTTGACTGATTGTCTACGCCCTCTCTCCCTAGAACTGTACGATTTTCAGGTTATTCAATTTTCTAGTAAATAATAGCATTGTCTCTTAAATGTGGGCAGTTAGAGGGTGCCACTGATAAATTCTACTGTTTTACTTTAACCCTGTTTCATCAGTCTCTCTAACTTACTTCTTAAAAAGACATGCATAACGACCACAGCTGTATTTTATCTTTACTAAAAATGGAACCACCCACCCACCCTAAAAAACAATAACAACAACAAAAACAACCAACCAAAAAACAAAACAAACAAAGAAACAAACAGACAAACAAACACGCACAAATAAAACGTTTTTAAAAAAAATAGAACAGAAATCAAACTTCCCTTTCCTCTTTCTCTCTCTCTCTCTCTCTCTCTCTCTCTCTCTCTCTCACACACACACTCTCTCTCTCTCTCTCTCACACACACACACTCTCTCTCTCCCGCTCGCTCAGGATGTGAACTACTTCAACGCCAAGAAGGTGGTCATCGAGAAAGACATCTCCACGATGGACAACCAGTCTCGACAAGAGATCACCAAGACCATCAACTACCTCCCCACGAAGCCCACCTGGTCCTTCAAGCCACCGATGATGCGACCCCTGCTCAACAGCAACGTCAGCTCCATCCATGTGCCTACCAACATCTACGACAAATGTGAGTGATGCATAATATTTGTGACGCATCGTGGCGAAATCAGGCGCTCGTCAAAATAATGAAATGAAAGAAAAGGGAATTTCCCCATCAGTTTTGCAATTATTTTCAAAATTTTGTTGGGATTTTTTTGCTAAACACCTTTTATGTTGATATGAAAATATATTTCCATGTGAATTTTACTGAAAAACCTTGTTTAAAGCCTCACAGTATGTAATTTTGAGTTTTCAAAGACTCATAGGCTTTTGAAATTACCAAACTTTGGCGGCCTTTTCCCCATTAATTTAACAACTGAAAACAGGCTACCTCACCCTCTTCAATCGCATATATCTTGACGTCTATTCTAGCTAGATGGATATTTTTTCATTGAAAGAAAGACAAATAAGTAAGCTTTCAGATGATTCCGATAACTCCACTTGCCCAAAAATTGACGAGAGCCTGATTCCACCACGTCTTGACACATTTGGTCCGTATAATATTATATCCCCCCTTTGGGAATGGCTTAAAGACACTTCAGTCAGTAGGTGGGGGGGGGGAGGGGGTGCTTAGCCTCAAAAACAGGAAAAGCGACGGCGCTCATTCTTAAACAGGGTCGTTCTCACGTGTTACAGTATGTTTCTGGCGTGATATTTGGTCGCTTTTAAGGACAAGCGGGCTAACCCAGATCTCGAGGATTTCTAGAACTTTTGACATACGTCTAAAGTGGGCATTGCCCTACGTATAGGAGAAGTTTGATTTCATTGGTGTGTATATTTGTTTGGTTATAGAGAAAACTATCCTTGTCCTTTAAAGAAACTGAACAATGGGCAAAAACGTTAACTTCGATTTTCTCAAAACAGCATTTTTCAGGATAGCACCCTTGTGCTTAAAAGCGACCAATTATATGACTACCAAAATGAAAGTTCTGAAATGCTATGTATGGTCAAACCTCCTATACGGCTGTGAATGCTGGACAATCACTAAAGACAGTGAAAATAAAATATAAGCAACACGATATGGGGTTTCTTGTGGAACTGCTGAGAATATCGTCGAAGGAAAATAAATCAAACGAGGGAGTGCTTGATGAAGCCCATGGGGGACCTCACGCCTCACAGTTAAAAACAATCAGGAAACGACAAATGCAGTTTTTGAGACAAATGGTTAGGCATGAAAGTCTTGAACATCTAGCTCTCACTGGCAAAATTGAAGGCAAAAGAGGCAGAGGTAGTCCCAGAGCAACCTACTAAGAGAACCTAAACAAATGGGTAACAGGGAACGATCAGGCAAACGTAGCTTTTTTCACCCCTATGCTGTTCCTGTTCGTCTCACACTTTGTTTTCACAAAATGACCGTTATTGTTTGGATGTATTTCTTTTTACTTACAAAAAAAACCCACTTCAAACCTACCAACCAACCAGCCAACCAACCAGCCATCCAACCAACCAACCAACCTACCAACCAACCAGCCAACCAACCAGCCATCCAACCAACCAACCAGCCTTGTCAACTAACCAACCAACCAAACAAACAAACAAGCGAACACAAAAACTAACCCAAAAGTCGTATTTTTAATCCATACATAAAATGTGCTAGTTAGGTGTCATATTTATAATTTGGTATTTACCAACCAATCTAAGTCAAGCTGAGAGTAACATAAATTTATTGCAACAAAAGAAATGACGTCGGTGGCCTAGTGGTTAGGCTCTCGGACTCGCAACCGTAAGGTCGTGGGTTCGAATCCCGTCAGGGGCCCGACGTTGTGTCCTTGGGAAAGGTACTTCACACGAATTTTCCTCACTTCACCCAGGTGGGAATGGGTACCCGGCTATAGACAGCGAAAGATCTTGTCAGTTTGTTAGTGTTTGAGCGCTTAATCAGCTGCTTGCACTGTATGCTTTC